TGCTCGGGATTGAAAGTCTGTTCGGTTCTGATTTCTTTTGGAGCCTCGGTGCATGCGGCCTGATGAGATATTTGAGGATAGGTTCAAGCTGCTACAGGCTGTGCTGCGTATGGGTGCCATGCGACAGGAGATGTGCGGGGCCTCAGGAAGCCGTTTTGAGGCTGTGGTTCCAGGCTGCTTCCAGCTTTGAAAGTTGCAGTTTCTCTTGTTTGATCCGTTGTGAGATGTTGTGATTTGCAACCCTCCAATTCTTGTGAGGGGATGAGTATGAAAAGATTGAAAAGAAGTCACTTCATCACAAGATGATGAAACACGTCGAAATCAGCACTTTTTCGCTTTCACAAGTCCCCCGGCTCACAGCTCCTAGGGCCTCTAGGGACGCCAGGCTGTTGACCCTGTCAAGGGATAGTCAGCCAAGGCAAACTCTCAGAGAGCGAGTTGTTTGTTTAGAGACGCAGCTGCAGGCGCTCCTCAGATTCCGCTGGACAAATCTGGACAATCCCACCCACCTATTATTTAAATACCTCCTGGTCAGGCCTCCCAAAATGAATATGTAAACATGAACAGACCCAATACATCCCAATACAAAACTTCTTTTTGGGGGGTGTGTATCTAACATTAATTGTTGTCTTGCTTGTGAATGCTGTTGATGCAATGATTTTTGAACATACTGCTGGGCCCTGACATCCAACATCTCCAGCACTTGCAGGCTGAACAAGCCGAATCAGAGGAAGCTCGGGGCACTGACTAGATTTGCTATTCTTGGGGATGGACATATCTACATATGATATGTTTGGAATTGTTTGGATATATATATATACATATGTATATGTATATGTATATGTACATGTATATGTATATGTATATGTATATGTATATAGTAAAATAAAATATAATATAATACAACATAATATAATGTAACATAAGATGATACACTGTAATTCAATACAATACAATATAATTTGATTTAATGTGATATAATGTAACCTAATGTAATATAATACAATGCAATAAACATAACATATTGTAACCTAATGTAATAATATAATTCAACGTAATTTTTATATAGTGTAATATAGTGCACTATAATATAATATCATATCATATCATATTCAGTATGGCTCAAAATGATTGACCATCAAGTGACCATCAAGAATCTATGAACAAAATTATGCTTTGATACTGCGCAAAAACACATCTGGGATGAGTGGCTCCACCACGATGAATGTTGACCCCCGGAGCTGGGGCTGTTGAATTGGTGGAGTACCATTTTTGGTATCAGATGATCACTGCCTACCCCATAATTCATAAAGACATCAGCCCCCAAAAAAGGGACTTCAGGGCTGCGGTCGATCCCTAAGTTTTTCGGACGTCGTTCGACGTCCAGGAGAGCAGCGTGGCTGGTGCTGCAGGCTGTTGCGAGGCAGGATTGGCCAAGTGCCTCGGTTAAATCTGGGTACAGCTTGGGTTGATCAACATCATGTGTTAAAGTGAATTCACCGGGAAAAGTGCGTATACATTGGGATTTTGCTGGGTTGATATTGACCCGAAGAGGGATTGAACATGATTTAACGAGAAAACATATAAACTCGTGAAGGGTATTTTCATACCGGAATCTTTGCGTAAATGGGAACACTTACTACCCAGCTAGATGTTTGGGTATGAAAGGTTCGGGTCGGGAATTTTTTTGGGGGGGAGGGGGTGGAGGGGTTATCCCTGAACTGACGTGTCGGTGACTACCAGGATGATGACATAGATTTATACAGGTTGGTCAGTGGTTAGGGGGATATATAAGGATATATAATTTGATGGTTTTTGAATGTTTTTTACATGCGGAATGGCTTGAATCCGATACTGGTAGGTGATTACGAAACTAGATGGATAAAAGGGCATCCGTTTCTTTCTGCCTTTCTTTTTTCTTTCCAGCTTTCTTTCTTTCTTTCTTTCTCTCTCTCTCTTTCTATCTCTCTTTCATGTTACAAAAGACTTGCGGTGTACCTAAAGAGAATGAGGGGGCAGGAGCCCCTTTTAAAATTAAGAATAATAAAAACAAACTGAGAATAAAATGGGGTCAGACCCCAGCATTTTATTTTGTGGGTGCATTTTATTTTTTGAGGTGCCCAACCCATCAAGTTAATAACTGACAGAGATAGCATGATAGCAAAGATGCACAGCTGTGAAGGGTCTCGTCATTTTGTGAAACGTTCCAGAGATTTGGAATTACTTGGACATTAACTTCGAAAATGGGTTGGCCCCCCTCATTTTCTATTGCCTTCCTTGGCCAACAAAAGACACACAGGCAGCTTACAGCAGCCAATGAGATTTCTTCAGTTTATTTATATTTATTTATTTGTATGTTTTCTAGAAACCATCCAGATGTCAGAATTGGAACCAATTATACATAATATATATATATATATATTGATCGAAATCCGCACGATTTTTCCTTCCTGTTGGCACGTGACAGAAGATGACATTTACTTCGCAGATGCTGGGATATATGAGGTTGGGTCTTGCCATTTTGGGGGGTTTTCCTTCAAAGATGATTCAAGCCAATTAAATAAGGAAACACGACTAAACAAGATCAACCCAAAAGAAAATGCCGGAGCCCGAGGTCCAACAGTTGCCAGGTGGAGGGTGCCTGACGTCATATTCTTTTTGTACCTGTCCATTGTATTTTGCTTGGGTTTTCCTATCTTACCTTATGCCCTTTCATTTATTGGCATTTTGTCCTTAGGCCCCTGCATTTTATTATATTTTTTTAGGGTTCCACCCCCCTGGCACCAGACGACTATTGTTATACATATATATATGTTTATATATATTATTATATTATATATATTATATATATATATATCCACTGGGGATAATGAACCCAACAAACACTTACATTCTTGAAGTGGTTTGAGACAGCGGTTACTTCCATTCTGTCAGGACTCCATTGGTTCTTCCCGTTATGTCAGCGCCATGCCCAGTGGGCCCAGTGGCAGGCGCGCAATGACTGGCCAGACGTTTCAGAAGATGACGACGTTGACCACCACCAATACCACCCATTCCTTGGTCGAATCCTTCTGGGATGCCACGCTCTTCGCAGGAGGGCCTGGGTTCCGGTGAAGATCAATTCATGCGGGGATTTATGACATTTATGGAGCTTCATCCCCCGAAAGAAATTGGGCAGTTCTTATTTTTGGAGGTTTTCTAAGTCATTGGGGGGCACCCCAAATCATCCAAACCCATTGTGACTTAGGTACTTCTTCTCTGACCTGCTTTTGCTCTGAGCTGCTTACTTACCTCTTTCAGTTACCTCTTCTGTAGCTTCTTCAACCCGATTCTTCCCTTCGCGCAGCCAGCACAGTGCGATTTGCAACCTCCCCTCCAGCTGCGTTCCCATATGGCACAAACGTGGAACTATGCTCGAACTACCTTTCTTGCACCCATTACAGTGCGTTTAGCAATCTCCAGCTGCAATCCCGTATAGCAGGAGAGTGGCAGCATCACTAACGCTTTCTTGTGCGCAGCAATGCATTTTGTGACAGCCGGTTGCACACCCGCATAGCAGTGCGCCCAGCTTCAACAGTGCGGACTTTTCCGCGCTGCTCCGAATGTGATAGATGTTTTTACGATTTTTGTGTGAGGTCGGGCTCTCGCTACTGTCTCGTGCACATTTCCGACCTCATCTTCCAAAAGTGATCCGAGCGCATCACTTTTCAAACGTTTTGAACTGCAGACCCTATTTCGCATACTGTCGCGGCCCCAGAAGCCACCATACCTGTCAAAACACAGGATTTCGTGCCCAAAAGTGTTTCCACCAGTGAATTCACGCATATTCCCGCGCTCTCGAAGTGTTCCTTTCCTCTGCTGTTCTCACCTGCGATCTGCTATTGCTGCCTTTGCGTTTGACATGATGACAAGACTGACCATGGACATTCGTCCGTAACTCGGAAGTTTGCGATTCAAGTTTCCTTTGATTAGTTAGTCCAAGTAGGTGAACCATGTTCGCAGGCGCCACACGCATACATTATATATTGTTATTATTGTTATGATGGTTATATGGTAATTTAATTGTTTTTTCCCATTTATAATTGCTTGTATAATTTTCTTATCCACGTGCGCCTAGACGAACATACACACGCTTTGTTCGTGCATTTTGGCTGAAGGACTTGATGAAGTTGGATTTGCAGGTTCGCTGATGATTTTCTTCGGAGTGACAGCCGCTTGGAGCTAGTGGCAAGGTCCCAATAAACCATCCCAATTGGGACCCATGGGGAACTCTAAGGGTGCGCCCACTCAGGTCTGCCACATTACTTACCACAATTAACCAACTTCCATGATTTCCATGAAGGAAGGTGTTGAGGATGTTGAGCTGCGATGTTTCAGGAGATGACCCAATATTTCGCTGGTTTGAGAGAACCTGACGCGTACAACCCTGGGGCAGTGAAACCTGGTATGGGAGCAGGAATTTACACACCAATCAGTCAGTTTTATGAACGAAACATGGGGTGCTTGAACACTGGAAAGATGATGAGCGAAGATGATGACTCAAGAATCTCAAGACTTGCGAGTCCCGTTCAGCTCTTTTCCCGATCAGTGACAGGCCATAGTGGGATCATGTGGGATTTGCGGTCACTTTGAATATCTTTGAATGACTGAGGTGAGTTTTCTCCTTCAACTTCTTTTCTGCTGGATTGTGGTCACCTGCTTTCTCGGCAACGATAACAAATACGACCTGTGTCTTGGCGGTATGGCGCTACGATTCCAAAACGACGAAACCGCACATATCAGATTCGATATGATTGGACCGCCAGTATTGGTCTCAGGTGGGGCAAGTACATACATATATAGTGCATATAAGTGCTAGATTTCGATTTCCAATTGATTTGGCTACGGCTACGATGATCCTGGTTCTTTTCCGCTTTGGGTTGATGAGTTGATGTTAATGTTTGATTCTTCCAGTTTGGAATCGCTCGACATGCATAACCTGCGAACCTGCTATGGAACCTTTCTCCTTGCATCTTTGAACACTAACCTCTATTTTGAGCCATGATAAGCGTCATATCTCTCATTCTGCGAGGGCATATCTCCGAGAGTGGCGCGTGCTCTATGGGCACAGTGTCAACTTTTATGATCACACCTCAGGCCGCCTCAGGGGGGGTCCTATGGGCTAAAGCGGCTATGGGCAATCACCATTCTTAAGAGCTACATCACGGTACACCATCTAACTAGATGGGCCATTGATGGCCATTTTCCTTAGCCATGTTTAATACCTGGAGGGTAAGTGGTAGTTTAATGGTACAGTCTAATCGTTTAATGGGTCAATTATGGAACTAAATAGGATACCCGTTGGTAATCAAACGATGCATCAAGCAATATCGGCAATATTGGGCAGCAACAATGTGGATATTCACGGTTCAATGTTTTGGAATGTTTGATGATGTTTGATTGGCTGGTTGTGCGATCTTTATACCTGGATCCCGGGATTGCCTAAGCGACGGCTGAGGTGTTCGCGTGAGGGATTGGCATTTCAAACCATTTAGAAAAAATATCCCGGCAACCCCAAACAGTGTGGAGGAGTGAGAGGAGAATGCATGATAATGTTGATGTTGATGATGATGATGATGAGGAGGAGGAGGAGAATGTTGCGGACGATGTTGTTGTTGATGATGATGATGAGGAGGAGGAGGAGAAGGAGGAGAATGTTGCGGACGATGATGTTGTTGTTGTTGATGATGA